CACCTTACACAGTTCACAGAGAATGATATGAAGATGCTAAATGCAATGTATTACAATTCTGTTCAGGGCAGAAATCTAACTGGAATATCTGTGATCACAGACACTTCACTCGTCCCTTGGAGTCAGAGTCGGATATGTCAGTCACTCCACGCACAGTACTGCCAGTGCAATTTAGCTTGTGTTATTTATAAAATGAGTATAAAATGACACCATATTGGTAACATCGAGCACACAGCTGGCACTGGTGTAAATGAAGATGCCCTTTGCAGGGCAATGATAAATCTGGCCCTACGTTATGGGCATACATCATCAGTAGTCTGTGTTTTTCACCTGAATTGTGGACAATCTGCTCCCTCACCATTAAGAATTTTCCATACCAAAAGAGTTCTACTATCAATGCAACCTAACGTGTACACTGGAAGGAAGTGAAGAGTTCAGATAGGAACTCAGTACCTAAAAGACCTAGTTCTTTCTCCCTCACCACAACAAGAATTTTAGCCACCAAGTTCAAGGCAAGCAGGTTACGGCCCACTTCCTTTTTCAGAGCCATTCATTTGTAAACTGCATGCGCATTTGTATGGCACTGCAGTCCTGATCAAGTACTCACTAATCAAGGAATGAACACAGTGTCCATTGATGATGTATTTGCATTTTTTTTTAAATCTAAAACAAAAGACTAAAGATGTGGTGTGAACAATAAAGAGGGAGAATGAAACCAGTTTATTTCCAATCCCTGGAAGAGAAAAATGGAAGCCTTGTTAAAACAGCTGTTTGCAACTCTCTTGATACTTTGCGATATTTAATCGTCAGGGGGGTGATTTCTCACAGCAGACTCAGCTGTGCTTTTTTATATTACATTTCTTTTAGCATCCTAGAAGAAAAGGAGACACAGGCCTCGATCCCTTAAGTGGTGTAACACAAGTGGAGGCTACCTGTAAGAACAAGGAAAGTTAAGTATGGGGTGTAGTATGATGAAAGTAAGCCACAAATCTCCTTCATGCTGCTCCAGCAGTGCTTTTATATACAGTGTATTGAATGGGTATGTCCCACTGCTAATTTGGGTCTTCTTAATTATGCACATCTTATTTTTGCTATGAAGGAGAATTAACATGTTAGCTGCACAGATGCTATTTCATTACAGCAAGTTCAAGTTCCTCGCTGCTCCTATCCTTCTTATGGTGTGTCCCAAACAAAGCCCTGACAGTGTGGACCTCTCAGTGAAAGCCTGTCGTTAGCTTTCCAAACTGGGGTTATGCATGCTTCTTTGCTGTTTACAACCAGCTCAATATTCACCTGTACTAATGGGACATGGAACAGCTGCCAAATACTCGAGCAGTGTCATAGATAATGCTGAAGGATGCTCAAAAAATGTGGGTATAGCAGCCATGGTTCAGACCCTTCAGCGGCCTCATGGGGACACCACAGGTCTATCGAATGACAGTTACTCAAACTCTGTTGCATGGAAATGAAACATGGGCACATCAGAAGGCTGAAGATCACTGGATGGATGTGTCTGATTTTTGTTGCCTCCATCAGCTGCTCCATATTAAGTGGCAGGACAAGATGAGAAAGAAGGATATTTGAAGCCAAATCCAACAAGCATCTCTATCATGACTGGTGCGGTGTCAGTAGCTTTGTTGGCATGGCCATATTATAAGAATGGAAGACCAATGAGTTCCGATACATGGACCAGTGAATGTTGCTGCCTGGCCAGGGCCATTGTGGGCATCAAATACTTCAGAGGTAAGACAAGGTTGCCAGAGATGGGCAGAAAGCTCAATCTACAACCAGACAATCTTAAAGCACCATACCAGATGCTGGTTACTTTACAAGAAGGCCACGTGCCTTTGGGATTTGCCAAGATGCTGATGAAATGCACATGGCTTCAATATGAATCCATCTGAAATTGTTTGTTCTTCTGTATTGTTGCAACTACATCATCTTTTACTCACTTGAATGATCTATGGCCTATGAACGTTAGTTCCCAGTATTTTTGGAAGAGTGGAACCACACAGACACACACTCAGAGACCTGCCAGCTATTGGCAGAAGTGGTTTTTCTGTGAATGATCATAAAGGTGATGCTAGATGTGGATGGCATGAGACACCAATGACATACTAAGGAGAAAAACAACAAATGGTCTGATAGCACTTTACAGATTAACAAAACATGTCGATGGTATCATGAGCTGTCATGGGCACAGCCCACTTCTTCAGATGACAGGAGTTTTAAGTTTAGAATGTGCAGACCCAAACTAAAGAGGGGGGGGGGGCGTAAGAAAAAGAAAAAAAGGAGGGGTGGGAGACAGGGAGCAGGGGGTATAGAAAATTCAGGAAGGTAGAGGGAATCAGTAAGTATCTGAAGATTGAGTAGTTAAAATGAAGCAGATAAGAATCAAAGTCAATAGATAGTATCCTTCCTTACAGGAATCTACACAAAGAGCTGTTTGTACCTTCATTGACTTGTTAAGCAGATAGTGCGGCGAGGTTTTTTTAAAAGATGAGAGGAAGGTTCATAGGTGGCTGAAAGTCTCTACGTATTAAATTGCATTGCTTGTTGCAACTCCAATTTTTGGTTGTAAGTAACACTGATTTTGAGGAAGAGTTGCATTGGTATCACTCACTAAAGCAAATAATACACATTACTGAAGGATTCTTTGTTGCACAAAACCAAACGCGAGTTATTGCTGTTGTTGACCACTACATTTCCTGCATGGTGCTGAAAGCTTCACCTCCCGGTGACTCAGGGCCTAAAATTCTCTCCCATCTTCTCTCCAGCCTTTTCCTGCTGGAGCAGGCTTGCTGCCCCTCGTGTGGCTCATGCGGCCTTCGGGCATGCAATCGCGAGTTAGCCACTTACACAAACCAGGCAGAGGACTTTGGCGAAGAGACAGTCACCAAACTATGGGTTTTACGGAACTCTGCACACCCAGTGTATTTCACTGAGCATCAGCCCCCTCGGGGGAGGGATTCCATGCCACAGGGTGGCATTGCTCTTCCTCTGCAGGCCTGAGCCTAAAAGAAAGGAGACAAACAGGCAGAAAGGAAAGAACAGACGGAGAGTATTGTAGCTAACAAAGTCATTGCTGGCACAGTATAAGCTGAAACGCCATGCTACTGCAGTTCATTTGGCGGGGAAGCTCTGTTTTGCATGACTGAAGTTCGGGAAATATATAAAAATATCCAATAAGAGTTCAACATCAACTACACAGAGATATTCCGTGGTTTTATTACATGTTGTTTATGAACAGTAGCAACTCACAGGGGATGACAATTTGCGCTGCTGATTGTGAAGCAACATGGTTTGGTAGGAAGAGGAAGGACTCAAGAACGATAGCTCAGGCAAGAGATATTATCCCATCCGAGTTGGCGATTAGAAATTGGCGCATCTGGTTCACCACTCCGACTAGTGTAAATCAGGAATAATATTATTTGAGTCGATGGAACCATGCTGGTATACTGATAGAGCAGAATCAGGCCCCAAAGCCATAATTTTTGATTATTTGGGAACCTTTTAAAAACATTTCTTAAGGTGACATTTGGTGGCAGCGCCACTGGTACAACTGACATTTCATACGGTCTTAGCTGATCTATTTAGCGGTGTAAAAATTTTTACACGACCCTATCTACAATTTTGCACTTGGGCGAGGTTGTCAGTGGTACGCCAGCATTCCATTTTGTGAATTAAAAAGAATTTAACATAGGTTAAAAAGCTACACTTGGGCCAGTCAGATGACATTGACATTTCATAACTGCGTGGGCCTGCTAATACTTGAAATCGTAAATGCTAGAGTTAAACCATTGTCACCTGCCCAACCAGACAAGAGAAATCATTAAAAAAAATAAGTCATAACCAACATAAAAGGAGGAGGGAAAACAAACGAAAGAAGAAGAACAGAGAAAAAAGAAACAGGGGAAAAAGGCAAGATAAGTGCGGGGGGTGGGGGGGAGATCTAACAATATAATTTCCTAATTCTGCAGTTCACATAATGCTTGTTAATAAAATCAATAACAATGGGTGCAAACCTGCAGCCTTGACTCTAGTGAGCTGTCCTCTGCAAGTACCCCTTGGAGCTACTTCTGGGAGTAAGTGGCTGGATCTGGACCCATCTGGGACACCCAAGCTTTGCTACTGGTTTTTGGTAGCCCCTTGGACTGCTCTGCTATCAGTTTGTTCCTCCTGCAGTTGCTTCTTTTCTCTGCTGCAGCAGAATCCCCTCTGCTATGGTTCCATTTTGCTTTGCGGCTTTCCCTTCTGGAATTCAGCTCTCCTTGTTCTGTGGCAACAGCATTGCCAGCCATGGCCCCAGAACAGAAGTGTCATTAGACTGAAACTGTTGGGGAAGCTCTCTTCAAGAAGTATAAGCTGTTGGGGATGCTTTGTGTGTTTCCCGAATGGACACACATGCTAAGAGGAAAAATTATGATCATTACTCCAATGAAAGGACAATTGACCAATTAAACTGGACTATAAATGTGGCTCCAAAACCAAACATCCATTAACAGTGGCAGAAGCAAACCATGTTATCATAATGTGGGAGATATTAACATTCTACCAAGGCAGCTGTCAAGAGGATTTCCATCGTGAATTGAGAATGGCTAATCCAAAACCCAAAGCTACCTGAGTACAATACATTTTTAGAAGCGTTGCTCAAATGCAAATTCCATGCCAGGATACGTTCATTTTCTAAGCAAGTCAGATTTTCCGGCGGGTTAGATTTCAATGAGTTTCTCACGGTAAGCACAACGCACACCTCAAAATTATTACCCTTTTCAAAGGCGACAACTAGGAGTGAAGCCTCAAACCTGTAAACTCTTATGCACGTTACTAACTTTATACCCAGCAGCAGTCCCCTTAACTTCAATAGGACTAGCTGGGTGCTTAAAATTAACTCCATGCTTAAGTGTTTGCAGCTCAGGGGCTCAAATCATTTTATCCAATAGATCACACACACTATAATTCAAGAAAAAAAGAACAAGTTGCTTTAGGCAGACATATTAAACGCAGACATATTAAACTAGCTTTCTGCAACTCTAAAAATAAAGCTCCACTGATAAATTATTTCACATGCTTTCTTGTGAAGCTGCTTTAGCTTCAGTGTATGATGTGGTTCTAAAATTAAATGTCCCTTTCTTTTTCCCACTGCATACAGCGTTACATATTCCATGTGTAAATAAACCTGGTTTAGCAGCCACAGGGGTAATCGGGAGGGAACTGTACCTGGAGTAGCAGGAAAGGCCAGTGCTAACGACGGTATTAAGCACAGCAAGGGGTACGTAACAGCGATGGAAAGTGCTATCAATCCATTCTTCTGGGAAAGTATATGCCGAATAAGCAATTGCAGAACCTGAAAATAAAATCAGGGCCCACGTTAGTTTTGAATGTGATTAGCACCGCGGGTAGCCCCCCGGGGAATTTGGTGATCTTGCAGGTTTCGGACAAGCAAATGTACATGGTCATCACTGTGTTTCCTGCGGACAGAGAGTACATTTATTCCAGAGGGGATGAGCATGTGCTGCTCCCACTGCAATTAAAGAAAGCTGTAAGGAAGGGACAGGGTTTCACCCCCTCAGTTGATTTTTAAATGAGCCTCCAGATTCGGGGGCAAGACTATGAGAAAATGCCCGTTGCTGTTTGAAGCTGACAGAGGGTGGATGGTGTGTGCACTGGCCTACAGACAAGGCGGGTGCACTTTTATTGGGCCAACTTCAGCTGTTGAAAGGTCTCTCTTTCTCTCTCACCAACAGAATTTGGTCCAGTAAATGACACCACTTCACCCAGCTTTGTGTCTCTGATGGCGGATAGTCTGCCTCTGACTTGTTCAGAGGTGTCTGTGGGTGGAGTAGGGGGCCTTAATTCAACACCAGCAAAAGACAAAACAAGGACAAGTTTCATCATTTCAGATACTAGGTTAAACACTAAATTAATTCCACCATTGAACGTTGTCTGTATCACACAGGAGAGAAAGAAATGGACTTAGGACAATAGCATTCTATTTATTGGCAGCCCAGCTTGATAACCCCCTCTGCTTGCTATGTTGATACATCTTTTTCTGTTCTAAAAAAACAAGGGCAAATGGTCACTCTAGGCTGATTCTGTTCTTGCTCACGAGGTGCTTTCGGCCAATGCAATGCCACAGACTTCAGCAGAAAACAATGTGGCCCAGAACCATTTGTTTTCTCCTATTGTAAGGCGACAGAATTCTAGCTCCTCACAGGTTTTTTTTTTTTTTTACACAAAAAACAAAGAGTCCAACCCTACAGCTGGTCCTACCAGAGGCATTATCCCCTAGGGATAAGTTGGGACTGCAAGATCGAACCCTGCAATAGATGTTTTTAAATTGCAGGCGAGACATTCTAGCATCTCTCTTGTACTTACGCGGTTGCTGGTGCATGTGCTTTTTTTAGTGTGATCCATATTTATGCCTGAATTATTTCATTAAGCATGGGAGATAGCTTTATCATTCCAGTTGCTGTCAGCAGGACCTCCTTGTCACAGAGATGACGCATCCCACCCGACCTATTCCTTTACAGCTCTAATAAATAACCCCAAAGGCAGTGACTTCACATCAGGATATCTCTGATTTGTAAGCAAGAAAGCCAGGTCCCTCCGGATCCTTCTATAGATGCAGATTAGACACATCACAGAGGGGAAGCTCTGACTCAGAGCAAGGCACTTTCAGCATCTCCTTGTATGTCTGTGCACTGAGAAGAATTACCAGCAACTTCAAAGGAGGCTAGCCTTGTCCCCCGATAATAGAATAGATAAAATGTGCTTCGGAACCAGCAGGTGAGGGCTAATTTGCCTGACTTGGTTTTGGGGGGGGGCCCCATGGGGATTTGGAGCTATTGGGATCCTGCGATGTAATCCTTTTACTCTGTGCAATAGCAAAATGGCAACATCTACAAACATTGGTGACACACATTGTACAAGCCAAGGGCTACTCCAAACAGAGAGTCTAGGGTGAAATCCGCTCTAGAGCAAAGCGTGGGATTCATTCAGAAATGGTTTGAGGGCCTGCATCTCCTTTGATGATATCAGGTGGGGAGGAGGGGCGGGGGGAAATATTCGCACACTTTCAATGTTTATTAGCCAGGATGGGCAGGAAGGGTGTCCCTAGACTCTGTCAGAGGCTGGAAATGGATGACAGGGAGGATTCCCTGTTCTGTTCACTCCCTCTGGGGCACCTGGCAATTGGCCACTGTGGTCAGACAGGACACGGGGCTGGATGGACCTTTGGTCTGACCCAGTCTGGCCCTTCTTATGTTCTTACTGTGCACATACTCAGCCTTCTACTACAGAGCAGGGGGTCTCATTGCACTGGGATCCCCCTTCTGTTGCTGTATGACCCCAGGAGGAGGGACTGAAACCGGACTCCACCCCCTGAGTTCCTCAGGCTTTGGCCCCAAGAAGTGGGGCTCCAAGTTTGGCTTCTGCCTCAGGCCTCAACAAGTCTAAGCCTGCTCTGGCACCCTTTTAACACGGGGCTGTAACGCACTTGGGGGACATCCACAGTTTGAGAACTGCAGCTACAGAGTCATAGCAGAGTCAAGGTGACAGAATCCTGGGGTTGGAAGAGACCTCAGGGGGTCAGCGAGTGACTTAGAAGCCTAAAACCCTGCGTTTCAGCGACAATTAGATTTAGGCTCCTAAATGCCAAAATCGCTTTTTGAAAATGAGACCTAGACCCGGGTCCTCAAAGGTGTTCAGGTTCGTAATTCTCACTGATATCAGTGGGAGTTAGGGGCCTAAATACCTTTGAAGATCTGGGCCCTACGTCTCTTGAGCACTTCCGAAGATGTTGCCAATCATTCTCTTACACGTGTAACAAGGCGCTGGTTGGAGACTTACCCAAGCTGTACATACTAAGGGCACCGTAATCAAAGAAATAACAAAGATGTCTCGCCTGGGTGGACATCGTACTGAAAGTATGAGCACAGCTGGATGTGAAAGGATAGATACAGCACGTGAGCATGTAGATGAGAAAGGGCCAGGTGTAGGTGTCACTCCAGATATCCAGCGAATAGGAAAAGGAAAGCAGCTTCCATAGGAAGTACCTGAAATACAAAGCACTGAGTTTGGACCTTGTGTGTTCCTAGCAAAATCCCAGCCCCTCTGAAACCTGAGGTAAAACCTGCCCTCCCCAAGTTTTCACCCTGACTTGTAATTTTGTCAGTTCTAAGATGAACATATTGCAGTCTCCGTTATATTTTTCCTGGTCCCTCTTCCCATCGACTCGGGCTGCATTAGAGTACAGTACATTTCCCATCCAGGTCCCCAAATCCTTCAGCCACCCCTCCCCCATCACAAACACCCAGCAACTGAGGCAGATTGTAACCGTTTCAAAACACAGCAGTTACTAAAAACCAGTGTCACGTACCAGGCAGGCAAAAAATGCGTCCATATGTTTAGCGTTTCATTTGTCATCTGGAAGACGCTGAGGAGACAGTCTGCGGCAGAGCTTCTCGGGTGGCGGTACCCAAACAGGATGCCTTGCTCCCGAAACACCTGCAAGGGGATGAGTAGAAACCTGCTGTGGAGATGGACGAGATGGTCTGCAAGTTTCCCTTGCACCCTGGGAATGGTATCCAGAGCTCATGCTGCTAACCAGTGATGGTAATAGCTGCTAACCAGTAATGGGGAAGTTCATAATGAGGACTTTGGGCTCCCAAGACATCTCCATGTAGGAGCTGACCCCCTGGGTATCTGCCAGCCTGCAGAGCTGTTGGCAAGGGCTGGAGCCCCAGCTGTGGACTGTTCCTTTCCTCAGTTCCCTTCGTGGCAAGTCCACCTCGACGGCTCAGAGACCAGTGTACAATCTCCTTTCCAAGGGCTAGTCCAGCCATTTTCCAACTTTGTTTCTCATGGCCCTGTTGCAGAAAATTGATGCCCACGACCCAAGATAATTATATTTTTTGACTAGCATGGGGGCTCCGGGGTACAGCCAGGAATGAGGGGCTTGGGATGCAGGAGGGAGCTCAGGGCTGGGGCACCAGGCTGGGCATAGGATTACCTCCAGCAACCCAACCCAGAGCAGCGGCGCTTCTAAGGCTGCTTCCCTCCTGTCCTGGCAGCTCAGCCTTCCCCATGCTCTGGAAGCAGCCAGCAGCAGGTCTGAGTCCTAGGCAGAGGCGTGCAAGCAGCTCTGTGCCCAGCTCTAACATGCAGGCACCGTCCTCCTCAGCTCCCATTGGCTGGTTCCAAGGGGCGTGTAGAGCCAGTGCTCAGGGGGAGGCCTGTGGCTCTCTGCCTCGAAGTTAGACCCGTTGCCAGCCACTTCTGGGGTGCAGCACAGTCTGTGGTGCCAGGACAGGCAGGGAGCTGCCTTACCCCCCACTGGTCACCTGATCCCCTACAGCAATGAGACCCAGCGCCTGGCATTCAACCGGCCAGTCCTAGGTCGTGACCCATCATTTGAAAACCACGGGGCCAGATTATGCCGTCTTTACCCAGCAAGCAGTCTTCTGGGACTCCTGTTTGGATTTGCTATTATTTAACAAGAGCAGAGATGGCAGAATTTGTCCCTAAGACGTCGTGCCTAATCAGGGTGACCTTGCGCCCCATTTCAGCTATGACGGTCCCTTTTTTAAGCCCTGTTCCGACTGATCAGCCAGCAAAAGAAAAGGGGACACATGCCGGCCTTTGTGCACACCAGGCACAGAGGGCAAGTGGTGATGGGGGGGGACAGCTCCTCTCAGAGCAGGAAGGCAGGGCTTGAGCGAGCAACGATGCCAGCCCCTGCCTCACACACAGGAGGGAGGCAGGGCCTGGATGAGCAGCAACCCTGGCCTTACATAGGGAGGGAGGAAGGGCTGAGACCAGCCCCACACTGGGGAGGTGAGGGCTAGCCCCAGGCAGGGTGCTGTTTTCTGGGGAATAAGGTCACCTGATAGTTCATGTTCCAGAAAGACGTCAAGTTCCCATGGCAACATTTTTAATGCTCCATTCATCTGAAGAAGCGGGTTGTGTCCACAAAAGCTCATGATCCCATCTACATGCTTTGTTAGTCTTTAAGATGCTGCAAGACTATTTGTTGTTGAAGTTGTTTCAGTCACAGACTAACTCGGCCACCCCTCTGAAGCTTTTGATCAAATTTCCTGATGTTCTAAGCTCAGGAAAGAACAGCTAATTGAACAGCATCTCAATGAAGTGGGTTTAGAAATAGGATCCAATTGGGATGACAGCTGGTGCCGCTATTGTTTTAGCAGAGATCTTACTCTGTGTGAATAAATCCATTACGGCAAAGAATTCCCCTAACAAGCCTCCCATTCTCCTTAAATAACAGAGTTTGCTACAAGTCCCTCATGTTTCCCAGGCCTAGATCAGAGCGCTCTGCATACTTTTGAGATACGCAGATGGGGACTTTTCCTAGCCATGTCAAGGTCTACCGATTTGGACATAGGATTTGGCCCATGTGCTTTAATCAGAAGATTCTAAAATGTATTTGATGATTCTTCTCATGCTGAAATCCAGGGTCTGATTCTCTGCGTAATGTACAATGCACCACTTAAGGTAGTCAGAGCATTTGAACTTGTTTAAATGAAATTTTGCCATAGGCAAGAACAGATATTTTTTCTTTACCTTGATCTGACCAAAATCAAAGCCAAGACAACATTAAACTCCAGCATTTTCTCAGTTTTTCTTTTCAATCAAAAGTAGTAATAGTAAAAGCCTCATCTATGTGTCTTCTTCACATAGATAATTCTACTGTCCCCAATGGGAAGATGGGCCTTGTTTCATTCTCCACCTTTTTTCTGAATAATTAGGCCATTTTTTCCCCCAATATGGTCACAATAATTGGTTAGCATTTTTTTCACTAAAAATATTTTCATTCAGTAAATGACCACATGAAAATGAAATTTTATTCAATAAAACTTAACATCCCCCCCCTCAAATTCTTGCTTTTAATATACAAATGTATGTGTATATAGAAATGTAAATGAATTCAAAATAGTATTGAAAAAGATCAAAACATTTTTGCCAAATCGTAGTATTTGGTGAATGCAAGTTTTATAACCATATTTATAATGTTTTCAATTACAAAATTAAAAATACACAGAAAAAAATGCTCTGCATTGTTTTTTAAATGCCTCTCTTTCAAACTCTTCGAAACAAGACTTTTAACAAAACATCAACATTTTCCCACAAAAATTGGCTCTTTTCCCAGCCAGGTTGAGAGCCACCAAGTTGGATGTAGGGTATGGCCCACATTCTTTAATTAAAATATTTGCATGTGCCATTAGAGCAGTGTTTCTCAACCAGTGGTATGAGTACTCTTAGGGGTAACTCGAGAGAAGTCTGGGGGGTACATCAACAACTGAAATTTGGAGAAAACTGATTTTTTGTTTTAAGTTTTACAGCACTTTATTATTTTTGTACTTTTTACACCCAAAAATTTCATCGCCCACCCGGCTACGATTAAGTTGTTTAAACAAATGTGTTGCAATGGTAGACAAAAAATTGTATGTCTGAAAACTGTAGGTACTGGGGGTATTTATAATTTTTTGTATTTAAAAAGGGTTACTTTATTTTAAAAAAGTTGAGAAGCACTGCCTTCGAGCATTAGAAGAATGCCGCCAAACAGGAGACGCAGTTTAACAAAACCTTACTTACTTTAGGCACTTGATTAATACTGAGTTGCCTGGGCAACTTCAAACTCAGCATCATGCGTTGGGCCAGGTGGGGTTGATTTCGGCTCCAAAATGCTCGTAAAATCTTCACCTCCTCAGAGATCAGCTTCTGCAAAGTTTTCTTCTCTGCCTCAGGCCAAATTCCTCCTGATTTATGTCTTCCAGGCGCTTTGGTGCTAGGGAGAGCAAGAGGACAAATACAGGGACAATGCTGTAGTGAGAAAAACAAGGAAAGGACCCGGCCCAGGTAATGGATTCAAGCAGTCATTGGCAGCTGTAGTTTGTGCCGCAGCCCCATCAGCTGCTCCCATTGTGGTTTCTCTACTAACTTATGGTGCCAGTGTGGGTTCTCGGGTTTAGAATCCTAGAATCCCAGGGCACGAAGAGACTCTGGAGTCACCAAGTCCAGCCCCCTGCCCAACGCAGGACCAATCCAACTCAGCCATCCCAGCCAGGGTGAAGGTGAGGTGGAAGGCAATACCGTGACATTCAGCTCGGTGAGAGGCCTGTACCCAGCTCACCCCACATTTCGGCCATCAAAATGGGCGGAGGTGGAAGTGTTTTGTGATCATCTTTTGCAGGAAGAAACGTCCCCCTAAAGCAACGAGCGCCTCAAGGGATTCTTAACTCTGCACCAGCCCCTGTAGGCCATACTTAAGGCCTGATCGGTCCCACTGAGTCTGAGAGCAGAGCATACCCAGAGCTGGAAGACATGGCATTGAGGCACCAAAAGGAGAACCTCAATAATTCGTGACCGGTGTGAAGAAAGTAAATAAGGAAGTGTTATTTATTCCTTGTTATAACACAAGAACTAAGGGTCGCCAAATCAAATTAATAGGTAGCAGGTTTAAAACAAACCAAAGGAAATTTTTCTGCACACAGTCAACCTGTGGAACTCCTTGCTAGAGGATGTTGTGAAGGCCAAGACTATTACAGGATTCAAAAAAAGAGCTAGATAAGTTCATGGAGGATAGGTCCGTCAATGGCTATTAGCCAGGATTAGGGATGTAAAATCCTGTTTAAAAAGTTAACCAATTAAATATCAAGTTTAACTGGTTGACCGGGATCCTGGCTGGGGTGGGCTGCCGCATGGTGCAGTGGGCCCAGCTGGAGCAGCTCCTTGCAATGTGGTGGAGGGGAGGCTGCTCCAGCCCTGCTGGACCCATTGCACCTTGCCGCGGGTGCTCCAGCCCAACCAGACCACCAGTCAACCACTTACCCCGTAAGCATCACCTGTTAAGGATGATGCTTACAGGGTAGCCAGTTAACCCTTTACATCCTTAGCCAGGATGGGTAGGAATGGTGTTCCTGGCCTCTGTTTGCCAGAAGCTGGGAATGGGCGACAGAGGAGGGATCACGTGATGATTCCTTTTTTTGTTCACTCCCTCGGGCACCTGGCGTTGGCCACTGTGGGCAGACAGGACACTGGGCTGGCTGGACCTTTGGTTTGATCCTGGATGGTTGTTCTTATGTCTACGTGGACTTTGGGAGACCTGTAAGTTTGGGCTGGAGCTAAGCAAACCATCAGTATTTCAGTTTGGTGGCTGAGCCGAAAAAAACCCCCCTGAGTTTCAGATCACCCCAAAATGAACCCATCCAATTTCTTGGCAAAATTCAAGCTGAATCCGTTTTAGCTGGACCTTTGGTTTGATCCTGGATGGTTGTTCTTATGTCTACGTGGACTTTGGGAGACCTGTAAGTTTGGGCTGGAGCTAAGCAAACCATCAGTATTTCAGTTTGGTGGCTGAGCCGAAAAAAACCCCCCTGAGTTTCAGATCACCCCAAAATGAACCCATCCAATTTCTTGGCAAAATTCAAGCTGAATCCGTTTTA